CATTAAATTAAAACCTCAGACAAATTCATCTGTACTAAAAACATATTTAAGGTCTTTCCCATTTAAAATTCCAATTCTAGCTTTGATAGGTGAGATAAAAACAGGAGGAACTTCCTGCCCTGTCCTTCCCTCTGCTCTGTTTTTCTGCAGCTGGGTCTGGGTCGGCCCAGACCCTAGGTGTTTTTAAATCCTCACTGAAGACACACTTCGTCTCTCTGGCCTTCTAGTCAGAGCTGAGTATGACACCTGACTTTTCCCTGTGTTTTGTTTTTTTATATTTATATTTCTGTAAATGATTGTCTTTTCTTGTTATTGTATTAGAATGTTTATATTACATGTACAGCACTTTGGCTCGACCAAAAATCTTTTTTAAATGTGCTCTATAGATAAAACTTGATTTGATCTGATTCTCATCTGATTAATGGTCCGGTGAACCTGGAGGTGTGTCTCCTCTGTGTTTAAATAGGTGTGTGTCGTGTGTGTAAACTTCTGTGGAACACACACAAAGAAAAAAATTACATTGCAAATATTTGAGAGCATGGTTTTAAGAGGCAGTGGAGATCTTGTGCAAACGCTGCAAAAAGTGTTGCACTTTTAAAAAATGACGTTAGCCTGATCGAAGCAATGCTGTGTTAGTATGTCTCAAGCCAGCAGTAACAGTATCACCCAGAGTTTGTTGAACAGCGTTGTGCCACAAAGTGCTTAATGAGAATGAATTCTGAAAAGGTCTGTTATATGTGCCTCAGATGGATCTGCATGAAGACACAGATGAAGTTGAGGAAAAGATTATGACTTAGCGTTGATATGTTTCCGCATTACACATTCGTTCAAATGTATGACGGCCGTTATATTGCTGATGCTGACATTTAATAAGTAACTGTAGGTTTTACAACATTGTAACATTTTCACACTAAGTTCTTTTTCCAGCCTAACCGGAGTTGGTTCAGCCAAATAACAAAATATATCTTTCCGCATACTGATGATGTTTCATAGCCATGCATTTGAGAGGAATGGAATGTCACTTTGTATTCTCATAGTCCTGCTAATGGCTCTGTGAGACTCTTCACATACATGTTGGTGCTTTAAGATAACATTCCTGTTAACATGCTTATATGCAAATATGTAACAATTTATTATAATGTTAACCACGTCTCCACGGAGTTTTGTAAAATTATTTTTTGTATTTATTTTTCCTCAAAGCTTTCATGCAAGAATGTTGCACCAATTTGTTTTGGAGAAAAATAGAAGTATAACAACAGTATTTTAGTGCTTCTGCACATATTTTTGTAGACTTGGACAATCTTTATATGCAGAATTCTCTACTTACAGAACGCCATCAAAGATGTGTGTGCTTTAGTAGTATAGTTGCATTATATGAAAATGGTCTTTTCAAGTCAATTACAACCTTATAGTACTTGAAAAAATATCTAGTTACATTCCTCCAGGGGTTCCTTTGTGTATCTTTGAGAGAATCTCGAATTTGAATATTAGGACTTTTAGGGAGCAGAGCATGTGGCAGTTAAAGATTTAGTTTGACAGAGCACTGACAGAGGTGAACTTCATCACCTGTCATGTTGCAGACAGACAAAGCTGCCTCCAGGCATTCTAGAGCTGCAGCATGGTCTCTGTCAAACGTTTGCATTCCAGCTTGTTCCAAATTAAAGGTTCCATTTCCACACAAAGAGAAATATGTACATATGTGACATGCGAAAGCCCCCTCAGACAGGACAACACAGGTACCTGCAGCCGCCAACATGCAAATCAGAACGTCCACCTGTCTGACAGCGAATCAGATTTGAGTCAACACTCATTTTTAATACATAATAAAAAGTATCTGTGTTATGTGTGTGCAATATTTAGACATCATACTAAGGCATATAAGGCCTCATCACATCATTTAACATCATAAGAAGAAGAAGATGAACCTTTATTCAGTTTTTCACTGTGGCTTTAATACACACACAGTATATAGGTAGGTGGTGCACACATGTACATTCAATACACACAGTTATACACACTATACACATCTGGAGAGGGCCAGAGCGAAGAGGCTGCCAGTCTAGCCAGCGCCGGGGAGCAGTCAGGGGTTCGGTGCCTTGCTCAAGGGCTCCTCGGCAGGGCCCAGGAGGTGAACTGGCACCTCTCTAGCTACCAGTGTTTTGGTCGACCGGGACTCGAACCGGTGACCCTTCAGTCCCAGGGTCAAGTCCCTACAGACTGAGGATCATATCTGAAGCTACATAATAATTAGTCAGTAGATACAAAATATACGAGAAGCACAATGTGATGATTTTAGCCAAACCGCAAAAACTGAGCGCACGCACGCACGCACGCACACACACACACACGCACACACACGCACGCACACGCGCACACGCACACGCACATGCACACGCACACACACACACACACACACCTTGTTTGGCAGGCATACACCTAAAGATCTGCTTCCTGAGAAATGTTAGGATTATTTTCAACAATTTTCAACTATCCAAAAAACTTTTCCAGACATTTTTAATACGGTTCATGTTCAATGTTTTTCAATGATTGTCTCATTCGTGGTCTGATTAACAATATCTTCATAATATTCACTGGTGGCAACACAGCTACACCTACATATATGAGCATATGATAATTGAATAAAATATGATGTGATATCTAATGTATCAATAATAATATAATATACAGTACATACAGTGCATGTTTGGGACAGAACTAATGTAAGCCCAAACGCAGCCTTAGGGCAAACTGACTCACAAACACAAAACCATAATTACATAACAGCTGTACTTGTTGAGAGCTGTAGAGGTATTGATAAAGACTAATGTGATATTCAGACAAAGCTCGGAGGCAAATATATCATTGCATGTGTGGTAACCATCAGCATGGAGTGGAGGAGTGTTTTTATAGTGAGATAATGAGACTCGTTTGAAGTCTTCTGGCTGTCTGTGTGTGTGTGTGTGTGTGTGTGTGTGTGTGTGTGTGTGTGTGTGTGTGTGTGTGTGTGTGTGTGTGTGTGTGTGTGTGTGTGTGTGTGTGTGTGTGTGTGTCTGTGTGTGTGTGTGTGTGTGTGTGCTGTGTGTGTGTGTGTGTGTGTGCGTGTGCATGTGCGTGTGCGTGTGCGTGTGCGTGTGTGTGTGTGTGTGTGTGTGTGTGTGTGTGTGGTTGACTCTGGACTCTGGTGTGATTACTGGAGGGGAACCACAACAACCTGTCTGACAGCACCATGCTTCCCTGAGAGGAATGTGTCTGCCGTCTTTAATGCCTTATTCATTGTGTGTATAAAAAACATTTAGATCCATGATAGTAACCCAGACCGCGGTGCAGATACCGATTAATTGTGGATTAACACGATGAAGAGCAGTGGTGTAAAGTAATTAAGTACATTTACTCAAGTACTGTACTAAAGAACTAATTTCTACTTCTACTCCATTACAGTTCAGAGGTAAATGGTGTACTTTTCCTCCACTACATGTATTTAATACCTTTAGTGACTTTACAGATGTGGATGAATGATGTGAAATATAATCAAGTGTTAAATCAGACTTTAGTTCCACCTGGAGTAAATTCACAAGCTACCCTGCAGTATACAAAGTCATTCAAACTAGCTGCACCTTTACCAGCTTTGAGAACACTTTCATGATCAATCATTATAAAACATATCATATATATTATTCTGAAATGGACCAATCTGCACAATGACTACTTTTACTGTCGCTACTTTCACTATATTTTGATGATAATACTTTTTTCTACTTTTACTTGAGGGACATGTTCAATGCAGGTGACGTGCCTTTGTGACGTGCAACAACATAAACATGAACCTTTCTGTTGGGCGCTTGTTAGCAGACCCTTCACGCCATGGCAGAGCGAACAGGTACAGGCAGGGTCCATAGTGATAGCCCTATAGTTTAAATCCACTACCCACAAATAAACATATTGACATGGGTTACTATTTAAAACAAATGGTAAATGTATTTAGGAACCTATCCATGTGATTTTAAGTGGGGGTGGACCTCAAATCCTCTAGGGGGGTCCGGGGGCATGCTCCCCTGGTAAGAATTTTTATTTTATTTTGGAGTTAAATGCATCAATCTGGTGCACTTTGAGGGGGAAATAAAGAGACTAGATATATGGGAACACCCATATGAAACAGAACTGTATACATTTCAATAATCATAAAATCATGGCCCTAACATCCCATTTCCAATATGAAAAAACTCTGAAACTTGTTTATTTATTTATTTTTGGTTCATTTATAGTTGTGAGTGTGTCTGGGTTCTTGAATCAGCCTCTCCCGTCTCCCCCCTCTCCCTCCTCTCCCTCCTCTCCCTCCTCTCCTCCCTTCTCCTCTTTGAGGGAGCAGCAAAGACTAGTTTTAGCTCTCAACAAGTTTTAAAAGTTTATCTTACCTTTTTTCACCTAGTTAACTTTTTCACCTACTAATCACTACCCCCTCAAATGGAAATCTGTGTTTACATAAATGGTGACCAAACCGTTTGAGACCCACTGAGAACTTAGACTAAGTTAACTAAACACTCTCAGAGAGTCCTTTACCTCACCTGAGCTGAGGTTATCCCGAGCTTGAATGACACACAGAGACCAATCAGGGGCTTTGATTTATGATCTGTATGACAGTGGCCATGTGGGCAGGCCACATCATGTAGACAGCCAGTCACCCTGTGTGAGGCAGGCCACTTAACAGGCCAGGCCATCGGAAACCCCCCGGTCCTCTCTATGGCCAGTACGGGACTGGGTACAGGAGGCGTAGAGCGAGGGATCATTGTCCACAAGTTAATCGATCGCAGATGGCGTTGTGGTCGCAAAAAAAAAATATATATATATATTAAAGAAAAAAAAAAGGAAAAAAAACCTAAATAGGTTGCGAAATATACTTGGGCGGCCGTTCAAATACCTGGGCGGCCCGCCCAAGTAAAGTATATGTGTGGGAAACCCTGCATGTTAAAAACAATAAGGGTGTCTGGCTCCTCCTATATATAGACAGTGGGGGGGGGGGGGGGCTGCTTTTGTATATAAACACACACTTAAAGACAGCTGAAGGAAGTGTATCTTCAAAGGACATCCCTCCACCTCCACCGAGCAGGTACGTGTCTGAGATCCCTGCACCACAGGAGAGGGTCTGAGACTGACTCTTGATGAGATCTGGACTCTATGAAATGACTCTTTCATCGCCACCACACTATGCCTGGCACATATTATTGAATTTGTTATCAGATATTGGATTTTTTGGGATTCTTTTTCATTTTGTTGAAGTCTATACTTAATTTGTAACTCTTTTCTTTGTCATTCCAGGCTCCATTACAACATACACAATGGCAGGTTGGTGCATTGTTTGCTCAGGAATTATTTTCCTTCAGGAAAAAACACTTATCATAGTGTGTTATCATAGGGCAGAATCCTGTGTACACCCGCAGGGTTTTAAAAATGCAGCCTCACATATTGAAGATCTGTTTCCTCTAAGGGCTCATAGGTTATTCATGTTTCTTTCTTCGACAGATGCAAGCTTCCAGAAGGAGTTCCTGGAAACCCACAACGCCTACAGGGCGAAGCATGGCGCGCCACAAATGACCTTTAACAGCGAGATGTGTGCCTCCGCTCAGAAGTGGGCTGACCACCTGCTGTCAATCAGCGGCCTGAAGCACAGTGAGACTAAGGACGGGGAGAACGTCTACTACATGTCAAGTTCAGCAGGCTGCAATCCCACAGGTGCTGCTTACTCCTTCACCTAGTTATTCAATCCAAATGTTGTTTGTCTACATGCTCCGGTAAGACTGTGAAAAACAAGACAGACCACTATGATTAGGCAATAAAACACCACTGCTTCAGGCTTCCTGTTGTTGTAGCTCACAGCAGTTTATCAGTCTCTTGTACATCCTGTGTTCACAATGTTTTATCAATAACCACCAACCTGTCATTTTGAATCATTTTCTTTTTTTTACACCAAATCCCTTCTCTGCCATTGCAGTTTGTTGTCTTTCTATGACTTTGCCAACTTTGGATTTATATTAGGCAAAAAGATAATATTTGCTTCCAGAAACACAAACCTCAACTACCTATTCATGTTGATATAAGACTCATTTTATTTTTTGTGAATTATATTATTTTAGGGAAAGAAGCTGTGGATTCGTGGTACAGTGAGATCAAAGATTACAACTGGAGCAGCCCGGGTTTCAACAGCAATACTGGTAAACACAACCCAACTGTTGATTTATTTCATAAATCCTTAAATAAAGAAAGCTTTGAAATGTGAAGGTCAGTAAAACGATCCAATGTTACTATCTGCATACCTTCAATCACTTAAGTTAAAGCTATAAGAAAAAAGGAAGTTACCAGTTAGATTTTACATGTTTCTTTTTTTATGGCTGCGAGTTGTATGTACACTGAAAAAACTGAAACGTTGACTTTCATTAAATGTATTATGTCAACGGAATTCATATAACTATATTAGGTTAGTTGAAAGCAATAACATAACGTTTAAATAAAGAATGTTCAACTTAATTGTATTGCTTTCCACTAACCTAATACATGTGACATTTGTAAAGTCAATGTTTCAGTTCTTTCAGTGTGAGGTTGAGTGTAACTCCACACACTGCTGCTCCCCCCCCCCCCCCCCCGCAGGGCATTTCACTCAGGTGGTGTGGAAGGAGAGCAGCGAGCTGGGCGTGGGGCTGGCCACTGACGGAAAGACTGTGTTTGTGGTGGGGCAGTACAGGCCGGCAGGAAACATGACGAACCCGGGATACTTCGAGGCAAACGTCCTCCAAGGTAACACATTGCAGCGTTGCTTAGAGTATTGTCTGAGTAGGATATTTGACATGTTACCTTACAAAAAAACCCTGTTACAAGTGTGTATCTCTAAAGGCAGAGGTGGGAAGTGCATTTACTCAAGTACTGTGCTTAAGTACTATTTTGTCATACTTGTACTTTCCTTGAGTATTTCCATTTAAAGCTACTTTATACTTCTACTCCACTACATTTCCAAATATTTATTGTACTTTTTACTCCACTACATGTTTTTAACACTAATACGTACCAGCTACTGTTTACATAATTATACAACACATGAGATTTGTATATGATACGTTACACCCAATATATTTCAAAATGTTAAAATGGTCTTAATATTAACAAACAACAGCATTTAAATGCTCTTACGTGTATTTGTAAGCAATTAAAATAAGGACTAATTTAATATTCTATAATAATATATTACTTTTAAAACAGCCATGGTGCATAACGGGCCATTTGCCTTGTAGTGCTTCAGGACTTTCACTTATAATGAAGTATTTTGGGGAAATGTAAAATATCTGTTTAACTTTTGGGAATGTCCTTGCTCAGACATCTATTTTACTTGAGGATTTCGCTACTTTATACTTCTACGCCCCTTTATATTTCAGAGAGAATTGTTCTACTTTATACATTTAATTGACCTCTTTAGTTACTCTTCAAATTAAAGTTCATGGTTTCACATTGAAAACCCATAATCCCTTTATATTTTATATATATAATGCAAACAGTGATAATCTTAAAATTCCAGAAAGAATATGAAATGATTAAAATGAGCTACTTTTTGAATAGCTAAACGATAAACTATTGGTGTAGTAATGATACAGCAACTTATACATTAGAGCATCATAAACACTTATTTTCTTTTGATACTTTTAGTATTTAGCTGCTGCTCTATGTCATGGTCCTGAAGTGATATTTAAATGCACGTGCATGCATGCATGTTTTTGTACGGTTCACATAGAAAAACCTTTTATGTGATAACTGCCACTTTGTGCTGCTTCTTCGTCCTCTGGGCTGCATGGAGACGGATGTTCCCCAGAGAGGTTTCCTCTCATGCAGACACTTTCTTTCCAGTCAGCAAGCAGGATGTTCCTTCCTCTCCCATGCAGTTTTATGAACACTCAACATTTTTCATTGGTTTCCTATGTTTATAACTCATCAGCTGAACACATTATTATTTATTTTCCATTTCCAGAGTAAAGGCTGTGCATTTTACCGCTGGCAGAGAGGAGGGGGGAGCAGGAAGCCCCTCCAGTGGTGGAGCGAGCCCGAAGAAGACCTGCACCCTGCTGTAGACCACCGTAACCCTCCCTCCAACACACTGCTGCTAAATATGCTCCATGTTGTTAAATAGTTACAGCCTATACAAAAACATGTTGTTGAATAAAATTATCTTGATTCAAAATGCTTTGGATTGTATTGAGGTTCAATATGAAATTATTCAGTTTATACATCAGGCAAGGCAGGTTTATTTATAAAATACCTTAACCTGTTAAGCCCCATTCCCCCAACAACATCTGCAAGAAACAGCGTCTGAGGGCTTCTTAACATTTAAAAACCTATTAATGTGTCATACCCACTTAACGGGAAGTAACTCAGCTATCAGACAATATTAACCATTTTTAGCAAAACGAAACATAAGGGTAATAACAAAGGCTCTGAATTAGCCCTGAGCGAAACAATGCTAACACACTTAGCACAGAACTCACGTTAAAATACCCTTATTACTTATCGTATCTGCACCATAGACTGTATATATAAATGGACGTAGGGTCCGTGACGTCACCCATAGGATTCTGCAAAGTTGCCGAGAAGCCCTTAGTAGGCGGAGTCGGCCACTAACGGCTCGACAGTGGCGTCAGAGTTCCACTCCCGCCTGCTCCAGCCTGCTCCAAATAAGGGCAAAGAGGCGGAGCCGAGGCGGGACCTGCTGCCTCCGGACTGGAAGTTCCAGAGCTAGCTCAAGCTACCAAGCTAAGCTAACATGCTCCCCATCTGCACACTGCCGTCGCATTGTACGTTTCTAAGGTAAGCGGACATGAGACTATTCAGCAAAACTATAAATAATAATCTAAGTTATTGAGTTTTTAGCATAATACTTCAGAATCTTAAAATCCCTTAACGTTTGTATGCAATGTGCTAAATGCAACACTGGAATCAAGCAAATATTAATATGTTTGCATGACATTAGTTATTTATATTTTGCTATCACTTAATTATACGTTTAATACATTTAAGTCAAACTAAGGTACATGTGATGATAGCTAGTTAGTGCTCTTACCTGTGAGGCCTCCTCCAAACAGCATTATAACCAGACTGTATCATTAAAACTATAAGTACCAGTTCTAGATCCTTGAATTTAGACAAACAATTCAAAAGACAAAATGTATTTAAAGACCAATCTTTATTTGAAGGTGCCTCTTAACCTGAGATATTAGTTATACAGTAATAGTATTGACAATCTAAAAAAACTGAGCAACTCAACGGTTCACTTTTATATTTCTTATTGTCTAAAGCATTTATTATTTTCATTTTTCCCCTCTCATATTCAGTGTGGACGGATTGAGACAGCGTGGTGTCCAGAGAGCTGCAGAGACTTCAGGGAGAAACCTCCGTGTGATGGACGTCCAGTCTGTTGGTTTGGAGAGGACTGAGGGTCTTTCCTCTGTGAGGAGGACCAGGCCTGATGGAGCAGCCCATGCATAGCTGATACCACCTGCACAGGCCTTGTCTGTCACTTTATTTGACTAAATGTGTTTACTTATACATTTAATAGGTTTACACCTTCTGTCCATATGTGCTTTTTATTTAAAACATGTTTGATTAACTTTTGGTTCACATTTCAATAAATTGAATTTGTATTTGCACTCCTTTTGTCCATTATTCTTACTGAAAATGTTAGATTACACATTCACATCTGACTGAAGATTGGCCCCATTTATTTGCGTTGCAAACTCTGCGGTACAAGGTACATGTTGTGAAGCTCATGAAGTGAGGCAAATATAATTAATCAGCTGATGGAGTGTAGATGTGGAAATAGGTGCATTCGATCAGCTGACTGTGTTTTCACAATAAAAGTAGTTTCTTAGTGAATGTCCTGTACTGGTCTCAAAATCTCATAACATCAGCTTTTAATTTTCCTCTTGGATGTTCTTCTTGACCCTCAGAGAAGGAGGAGATGCTGAGTTGTGTCTTTCAGGCATGTCCTTTCCGAACAAAAATTACAGGAAACATAAAACATATTATTGCAGAACAAGTGTGTTATTTATGAAAGAGGTGTGCTTGTGTTTAGGGGCTGTAGATATAATTATTTTGTAATTGTAATGTTTTTTTTTATTTCAACAGTGAGCTACAAAGACAATCAGATTATGAATGAACAGTATGAAATTCATCAACATTGAAATGTATTTTATTATCAAAATAATATTTAACTGTTATCAAAACTTAGTGCAACTGTAGAAGCTTGCTCTGTTGTCTCACTGAAAGAATAACTTTTACCACGTTTTTACAGACAATATTGAGAGATAAATAGCAGTTGTCACTATGTGTTAAATAGCTTTGCCTTCAATACATTAAATTAGAAAGCTGACAGTCATATTGCTTGTTAACATCTAAATGTAACCTTTTGCATGGAAAAAACCCTCAACTTCACTGATGTGTAGGTGATCTAGTATTTAGTATTGTTTAATGGAATGTATATCAGTGTATTAAAGTCAATACTTCATTTATTTAAACCAATATCTTTCTTGATTCTTTGTACAGTATGAAAAAAGAGTATTTGTACCTGTGCTGAAGTTCACTGCTGTGAGGAGTCCAGTTCTGTCTCTCACTCTCTGGTCCAGCCTGTCTGCATCACCTGCACACTTTAAACAAACAGATATATATGTAAAGAACCATGTGTACAAACAATATAACTTATTCTCTTCTGTTGAACATGTTGGATTGTGTATTGTCCGAGTCAGAGTCCTTTTTATTTTACTGTAACTTTGGAAGTTGTGTTACCAATGCTTACTGTTTATTTGATACCAATTTGGTAATGCAATTAATAAAAACAACAAGGTTTGGGTTCGTTCTTCAGATGACTGTGATGTTAACGTGTAAGCTCAATAATGAACTCCAGCTCAACCAACCATATTGTAATATCCAAGTAATCATCTTGAAATATGACATTAATAATTGTAATATACACACATCTTATTGTGAGGTTGATTTCACATACACTACTTCGACGTTAGCTTGTCTACATACTCAAGCATAGCCAATTTAAATTAACCTTAGCATGCATACAGTTCCTACCTACATAATAAAATATCTCTCTAAGTTACAAGGATGACCTTATTTTATCAACCTCAAACAGAAGCCTTTTGTTCTACAGTATTATCCCTCTTAACACTTGTCTATTTCGTTTTAACCTTTATATATACGGTCTATGGTTTTAAGTTAACTTGGAGGCTACGATTAGCATCGTTAGCACCGATGTAGCTACCACTCGCTTACACGCTAACCCAAGCCTTAACATTCATTACGTAGCTGATTAAAATCATAAACACATAAGTACTCGAATTTCACTTACCGTAAAACGGCATTCATGCACCGTCTGTTTTAACCGCAGAGCGAGTCACAATAGTCCGATATATAAGCATGAAGAACAAACAAACACGGCCGGGGTCAAGTTGTGTTCCCTGGATGAACTGGGCAGGCAGAGTCCCTGTAGCTTCACGGAGACGGAGCAGCTAGCAGAGAGACAAGAAGCTAACAGCAGCAGTCACTTGACAGAGCTGTCACTCAATGTGACCACGCCCTAATTTATGCAAAAACTTTAAGACCTAATATAAATAAAAGGGTCATGTTAGAAAACAATTCACTCACAGATTCATAATCATGAAGGTGGAATCTAACTATATACATAATAATATTTATTGCATCCAGGGCTAGAAACATTTTTTTTCTGCTGTGAAATTGGGCATTTTAACATGGGGGTCTATGGAAATTGCTCCTTTCTGCAGTCATCGCCTATCGGCCAATATATGAACTGCAGTTTGTGGCACTTCCGTATTGGCGTCCCGGCTCTTCCCCAGAGTTTGCCGCTTGATCTGCACAAACAAGATATCGATTAACAAACTGAGATTGCACAGATTCTACAGGTATTAGTATCATTACTGACCGATCCGAACTCGTGACATGAGAAGCTAACAAAGACATCACACCACGTAGCATTAGGTAGCCAACACGGCAATATGTCTTACCTTTGTTGTTTTCTGATCAAAAGTTGTCTTCAATGGCATTAAAACGATAAAAACGCTGCTGAAAGTTAATCCATAGGTTAATCCAATGTGTCTGTGTCACTTTGAAATGATTTCTGATAATCCATCAGCAATAAACCTAGTTTTCAGTTTTCAGATTTCAGAGCGTAAGATAGGTTTCGCTTTGGGAAAACTGCGTGTGCATAGCTCTCATTTATCAATGGTAACATGTGGAAATTCCCCTTCGATTCTATTGGCTCTCACGGTTCAAAAAAGATGTCAATCATCAAAATCGACCAATGGGTTCCAGAGAAACGGCAAATACACCCATTTCCACCCAAATGAACCCAGAGGTGGTTTTTTTTCTCTAAATCTCTCTAAAAAGGTCAAATGTCACTTATTTTGCATCAATCTTGATACAGGGTACTTATTATCTGTTATAGTTTGGATTCCTAAAGCTTTTAGTCTACTATCCCATCATTCAAAGGTGGTTTTCACTATAAGTAATGGGTTTTCTTTGGACGGACACTATAATTTAAAAAGAATTACTATGTTCAATCTGAATTTACTTTAAAATAAAAAAAATCTAACTTGCTTCTGACTTTTCTAAATCCAATTCACAGGTTTATCATTGCTTTGAGAAAAAAGATTATTAATTTACCCCTTTTAGAAGTTAAGTTATAGTCATTTGTTCTGGGAATGTCATTTCGAGCCTGAAACCTGAAAAACAGGCTCCGGGCTTAACGTGAATCCATGTCGCTTGTCACAACTCCTCGCTTAATGCGGGTTTTTTTACTTCATAATTTACTCCTGGTACCATGTTTTGTTTGTTGGTCTATAAATGAACTGACTCATGCTCCGTGCTAAACTCTTAGCCATCTTTATTATTAATGATCATGTTCAGGTGTTTTACCTTACATGTTTAAGCATAGATCACAACTATGTAGCGACACCTTGTGGTAGGAGTGTGTATCTATCTAATCATCACAAAGCCCTGTTGGCGTCAACTGCCAATGTGAAAACATTTCTGAAAGATTCCACTAGGTGGCAGCAAAACCCAGCAGAATGGGCTTCTTTACTCTGCATGTTCCACATTAAAAAGGACCTGCACAAAAATGGAAATCTATTGCTGAGCAATCACATTCACTTACTATGC